CTAAACAGGTCCTGTTAAGAATTCCTTTGTTATTTGTCATGCTTTAAGGCCCAGGAAAGGCCTTTGCAAAACTCTTGATGGGCTTTCGTTACACTATAGCCTTTGTATAAGGTCACTAGCTCTTTTAGCTTTTAATGTTTAACTTAATCACCCAGTCAGTACTGAAACAGTTGTTATGAAGCCCTGCGTTCGTAAGAACCGGCCCGCCACCCCTGCACAGGATCCTAAGACAGACTGTTAAAGGCAGGCACCAGAGTGGCACTGTGGGTAAACACAGAGACAGCTGCAGCCTAGAGACAACTGGGACCCCTCTGCAAACTGCGCAGCACCTTTTCTATCACTCTGTGAAACTCTTCTGTCGCTTGAAATGCAATTTATAGACTTAGAGGAATTCTGTGTTTCATCACCTAACGAAATGCAGAAGGTAGAACTCATCATTTTTGTCTTTGGCTACCCTGAAAGCAGATGTTTTGTTGTTGAGAGAATAATAACAAAGTTTTTTTATTGTAATGATACAAGGAAACAAGAATAAAGTCCCTTGTATATGGAATATGAAAGAAGAAATGAACAATGCCACTGACTGAAGAGGGGGACTCAGTAACTGAAGAACTAGGAAAGCAGGTCGAAAGGATTGAAGACTTACGTGTTTGCCTCAAGACCCTGGGAGTTCTTTATCCAGTTCTCTTATTTTTGTTTTGTTTTGTTTTCTCATTTGATGGGAGGAAAAGATTTGAGAGAAGGGTAACTCCAGGAAGCTGCTTTAACAACCTCAGAACTAGAATACTTTGCCAGGGAGTTGTAAGATACTTTGTTTTTGCTTTTACTTTTATTTTTGTTTTCTGACATTTGTTCCTGTTTCAAAATGTTCAATTAAAATATGTGGCAAAGAGATTCTGTTCACACACCCCATCCATTGCAATGACAGTTCCCAGCTTCAAACCTGCAAACCGACTTTTTTTTTTTTTATGGAAACCAGTTTGTCTCCTAATAGCATTTGGTTGCTTTTATCTCCTTACTTTTGATTTTAAAAAATGTTTCTCTCCTTCTATGTGAAATTTCATTTCAAAAAGAAGACTGATGGCAGGCATTGAATCTGGAAGCTCTTCCACCCAGAGTGACAAAAATAAAGAGTGATGCTGAAAGCTGCACTGCATGAAATCCTCTCTCTGTCGTCCGTTCTCCGAATCCATTACTGGCTCTAAAAGGATCTCCTGAGAACAGAAATTGTACACTGACATTGACTGGTGTTTATATAGCAATTAAGCCACACTTCATCTCCTGTATTTTCCAAATAGACAGCAGGGCTGTTTTTTTAAAAGTGAAAGAAAACATTGACAAGGATCTCACTCTATTAGATCATTTCCAAGGTCACCCATGACCCTATTATCTCCTGCTCTCCAGTAGCCTAAACACGGGATCAGAGGGTAGTACAATATCCTTAACATTGGCTTGTATAGGTGTGTTGCTGCTAACTTGGAGATGGCAGAGACAGGCTACTACAGATTTCTTTCATGATGCAAATGTGGGAGCCAGTCCTTTGTTACCAGCTGGTAAGGGAAGTTGGCAGATACATGAAAATGGAAGGACTGGCACATAGCAAACAAATGACCATTTAAAATGTTGTTATTCATTTAGAAAGTCTACAAATCAGACTATTAATGCTAAATTGGAGTGAAATCAGACCTCATACATAGTAATGAGCTTTGAAGTTTAGCGTGGAGTAAAGAGAGATCCATCATTTTATGTTAATGCAGGCAGGCCAGACAAGGAGAATGACAATGGGAAGATACACAAACTAGGTGAGCACCAAGAAAAGCTTTTACAAGTCATTCACAAGGAGTGCAAACAATAATGAATGCACCGATTCCTTCTAAAGTGCTCCCATTCAATGTATTTTAATGTCTATGGAAGGAATAAAACACATGTTTGAACAATTGCCCACAGTTCTCTTTGTTCTAATCACTTCCACAGAGGTTGAAGATTTATTGGCTAATGGGAAACCAGGAGGGGCATAAAGGCTTTTCTTGATTAACATGGGTAATGATGTCATAAATAGCATAAAATGTTTCTTTATATTTGATAATTCTCTGAAAATCTATTGTCATAGGATCACATAGGCCCATCTGCAGCATCTTTAATCACATTTTAATGGTATCTCATGGGCAGTGCGTAATAGTGAGAGGTGAAGCCTACTAGGCTTCTGGGTCAGGTGGGGACTTGGAGAACTCTTCTGTCTAGCTAAAGGATTATAAACACACCAATCAGCACACTGTGTCTAGCTAAAGGTTTGTAAATGCACCAAGCAACACTCTGTAAAAATGCACCAATCGGTGCTCTGTGTCTAGTTAAAGGTTTGTAAATACACCAATCAGCGCTCTGTAAAAACGGGCCAATCAGCACTCTGTAAAATGGACCAGTGAGCACTCTGTAAAATGGACCAATCAGCAGAAGGTGGGCAGGGCCAAATAAAGGAATAAAAGCTGACCACCTGAGCCAGTAGCAGCAACCCACATGGGGCCTTTTGCATGCTGTGAAAGGTTTGTTCTTTTGCTCTTCACAATAAATCTTGCTGCTGCTCACTCTTTGGGTCTGAACTACCTTTATTACCTGTAACAGTCACTGCAAAGGTCTGTGGCTTCACTCCTGAAGTCAAGCAAGACCACAAACCCACAAGAAGGAAGAAACTCCGGACACATCTGAACATCTGAAGGCAGCAAACTCTGGACACACCATCTTTAAGAACTGTAACACTCACCACGAGGGTCCACGGCTTCATTCTTGAAGTCAGTGAGACCAAAAACCCACTGAAAGGAACCAATTCCGAACACAATAGCACTTCATCTCACCTCAAGAATGCAGAATAACCGAGTTTTCTATAGTAATCAGGCATTGTGCATTACATTCTTAATTCAAAATAACAAAGGCTAATATTTATTGAACTCTTACTGCCAGCTACTAGATACCTTACATATATATGTCATATTCACAACATTGTTATAAAGAGATACTATCTCATTTTATAAGATAAGAAACTGAGGCATGAGAGGATAAATAATTCACACAACTAGAAACTGGTAAAGCAGAATTTCAAACCCAAGCAATGTGACTTTAGAACTCATGTTCTTAGTTACTACATTAAATTCTTTGTCATTCATTACAACTTTATAAACTTCCATAAATCTGAAATTTCAAAAATTTGAAATGATTTGATTTTAATTTTCCAATATCATATTATCATTTAATACATCTCCAAATTATCCATGTTGCTTAACTGGGCTACAGTGGGTCAGACATCTATGGCAATAGAACTGCACACATCAGATTTGTCTGTAGAATCTGGGCTTCTTAGAAGAAACCAATGAATGCCTGCATCAACATCATCATCCCCACAACTATTCACCCAGCCGAAAACTGTGCTGAGCACTGGGTCTCATGGGGTCTCATGGACAGCTTGCTTGCGGAATTTATCCACTTTTAATGCACTTCAGATTTGAAACATAAAAAGCATAGTATCCTACAAATGAAATAAAGTTGTTAGAGACTTGTCTAATTTTACCAGGTACAGTCATCTTAGTTGTTCAGCAGGAACTCCTTTGAAAATTAAGCGTGTGGCCTGAGCCTTTTAAAGATGGTATGAACCATTCTTCCCTATCATTTCCCAGCCCTAATACCTGTAATGAGCTTCTCACAGGAACTGCATGCTTAATTGACTATTGGCAACATTGAACATTTGTCCTTTCTTAACAGAGGAATTTATGTTACTCTGGCTGTGTGCTTGAATGGATGACTTAATTCATCTCGACCTTATTATGCTATTGATGCAACAGAAATACTGAGCCTTGGTGATTCTCTGCATAACTAAGCACAGACCAAGCACCTGAGGAGGGTTGGGGGATTGTCGTCAAGATTTAAAGTGACTTAAGCTTTGTTGTGATTTCTATAGCTGCAAAGAAGCAAATTAGAGGTGTCGATGTCAGGGAACAGTTTTCTGGAAAGCTCCCCAGTGAAAAGTGGACAGCAGTAACTTTAAGCAGCCACGGAAAATAGTTGATCCTTTCAATGACTGTTGGTAGCAGTTCTGCTACTCTATTTTTCCATTCCATGTTTAAACCAAGAAAAATAGGTTGGCATTAGAAACATACTGATACTCATCGGCAAGTTGAACTTTTCTTAGTGATTTTATTTTTGTCTTTTTCTTCCTATTTGTTGGCCAAAAAACAATCAGAAGACAATTTTTAAAAGAATATTAATACTACCTATTTACCCAGTGATTACTATACCAAGCAGTGTGCTAGACATCATACACTGAAGAGAGAGGGAGGGAGAGGTTATTGTCTCAAATAACTAACTTGTTAAATTGTCTTGTTTAATCTTCTCAGGAAGGTTAAGAGTATGTACCCTCATTATCCACAACCATAGGTGAGGAAACTGGGGCTCCCTGAGAGCAAGTTACTTGCCCAGTTCCCAGAGGCAAAAAATGGCAGAGCCCACCTTGAAATCTTTGTCTGACTCCACAGTCCACTCACTGTCTGAACCATTATTGTTATCTCTCTGTACAACAAGGAATTTCCCATGCAGTGGAGAAGAATATACGTTGAAGAATTTTTCTAACATTAAGGATATTTTTTATTAACTCAACAATTATTAATACAGATACTATCACACGAAGGCTGCGTGTTTCATGCTGAAGAGATACAGTTGTAACTACAGCAATAGCTAATGATCATTGAGAACTTACTATGGGTCAAAAATTTTAATTTATTATTTCATTTAAATCTTACAACAATACTGTGTGGCAGTTACTATTATTTTCCAAATTATTTTATTAAAAAATTAAAGATTAGATATTTTGGACCACTTGCTCTATGGCAATGAACAGGTAAGTTGAAAAATTTAGGCTCTGGGAGGCCAGAACCAAAGCTCTTAAATTTTAAATAAATAAAAGTCAGGAAGTGACATCACAGACACATGGAACATCAGGAAGGTGGAACTGCCTAAAACTGAGTGGACATTTGGGGAATGACTAATGTAGGGATTGGAGTCATAGTCTGATTTACAGATGGTCGTAGGTTTTTATAACAAAGCAAATGGAACCATCAAAGGGTTTGTGCACAGTGGATATACATGATAAGGTCTATGTTTTACTTTCTTATGCTACTGACTTATAACCAATATAGCTTACACTGTGAGTTCTCTGTTCAACAGTGGTAATAGATTTTTATAACTTGTGACTCCTCTAATAGAGATTCACTTGTACCCATCTGTATTCATTAGAACACTTTTAGTTGCTTATAGTAGGAATCCCCTTAAAGCCAGTTAAAGGAGAAAAATAGGCCAGGTAGGGGGGTGAGGCGAGATGTTACCGGGTTGGGCAACAGAATAGCCCATCACTCCCTTCAGACATGGCTGTCTCCAGATTGCTTAAAAGATGTCATCAGAATACATTTCTCATTCACTCATCTCCCATCTCTGCCTTGCTCTACAGGGGATGTCAAAGATGATCCTCAGGTATACCTGATCTTTGGGTTCATGACCAGAATGAGACACCTTCCCCATTTCTGAGTTCATATGAATATATGAGGAAGGATTCTGCGTGGGTCCTGCACCTCCGCTGGCCTGGTTTCCAGTTGAGGGAAATTCTGGTTGGCTAGGAGAGGTGCTTGAGCTTCATGGTCCCACTAGGCTAGGTAAGAATTGTTCCTAAAAGGAGAAAATGAGTTCTAGTCGCTTAAAATTGAAATGGAAAGCTAGGTAGGCAAAAATAGCAGATGTCCTTTATAGCAATGCAGATGCCTGTGTGTTGTGATGGGAATGGCAAGAAAACCCCCACAACTCACCCCTTCTTCCCACACGGCCTCTCTTGGACAGGAATTCCCTTGTTAGTTGCTCCTTTAGGAGAAGGAATAGAGGGCACTTTGTAAAGCAGGAAGGCAGAAGCATTAAGCCATTATCACCTGCTAATAGTTTATCAGGAAAGAGTTTTTCAGATTGCCCATTTTATCTCCTAGTTTTGCCTGGAGCAGGCTCTAAGTAATACATGTTTCTGAAATGGTGGGTTCAGTTAATACTCTAAAGAAAGAAACAAGGTAAATGGACCCTTCAGGAGATTAATCCAGCAGTGTGGATGCAACAGCAGATGGCGGTGAATTCATAAACCTGGACTGCAGTTTGCCTCTAAGTTATGAGGGTGGCCTCAGGAGAAAAAAAGTGTCCCACACTGGAGGTAACAGTGATGACAGCTGACGTTTAGTACCATGTGCCTGGCACTATGCTAAGCATGCTCCCTAAGTTATCTAATCAAATCTGCTTAGGAAAATTTTGAAGCATATACTTCTCTTCTCCCCATTATATGATAGAGGGAATTTAAATAATTTCATCAAGTTCACATAACTAGTGGATTGTGGAGCAGAGATGAACAGCCAGGACAACTTGACTTCAAAGCCATGTTGATGCTGTCAGGCTGCACTGATACAGGTGCTAAGGAGGAAATGCACACATTGGGCGGGGTGAGGATTCACATAGATAGAATCTGGATGCCCTTCCAACTGTGAGGCCTGTGAGTCCTTCAGCATCTTCAGGGCTTATCTGTGGCAGGGAATCAGCCATTCCTTGTATGGTATGTGGCTTTTGCAACATTCCTTCATGGTTTCTCTCCCTGTTGTTGGTATTTATGTGTGCTGGCAACTTCCCTGTAAGAATATATCTTGAGCATGAAAAGATGATGTAGCTAACAGAAAAACAGGATAGAGGAAAATCACCAAACACTTGCTACCAATGCCAAATGAGGATTGGAGCCTAATCTACTGACTATTGCTGGGACACTCCTCGTGTTGAAGGTGCCTCAAGACAAGCCCTGCATGAGTACCATGACAGAGCAGTCACTGTGTCTGCAGGTGGAAATAGAGCCCTAACCCCTGGGGACCTGCCTGTACACCACTGTGGAAGCTGCACTGACCTCACACCCTGTACTTTACCCTGCCCACATCACTAGTCACAGGGCTAGAAATTTCTGCTAAAAAAGTTATATCCTAGATTTAGGTGTATTGACCTTGGCAATCTAGCTAGAACCTCATGCATTTGCATCATCTTGTAATCCTACACCTTGTATTTTGCATATTAACACTTTATACACTTTCCCAAGGTCTAGCTATACCTGCCTAAACTCCCATTTTTCAGCTAGATCTGGAATCCTGGACAATTTTCCCAGAAACCAGCAGGTGATATTTAGCAGCTGAGTGAGTTTGATATCATAATTAAGCAAAACTCACAGCCCACATTCCTGCCAAGCAGGTGCACTGGCTGTGCAAACATCCATGCGTGTACTCATGTTGGACCAAAAGTTTGCACAGCATATACCCCAAGAAATACATATTGAAGACACACGAAGTAGCTGATCCCCACCGCACTCTTTAAACACACACAAAACAATTCTAGAGAGATTCAAACTTTCGAATTTTAAGTTTTGGATGAGAGTCCTTTCTGTATCAGAAAACCAAGAAACTAAACAATTAGTGATTGATAAATTTTATATGATAAAGTTCTAAATGAAAAAAAAGCAACCAAAAGCAATAACAAAAAGATACTAACTTTTTTTTAACTGGCAAAGACATGGACAATTTACAAATATATGTATATAAATATAAAGATAATGCTATCAAAAATAATTAAATGAAATATTAATCAGCAATGTAAAGGAATAAATGACTCATGCATGCAACAACCATATGTGGGCATTCATTATGCTAAGTGAACGAAGCTGCTTTCTGGCTAGGCACAGTGGCTCACGCCTATAATCCCAGCACTTTGGGAGGCTGAGGTGAGTGGATCACCTGAGGTCAGGAGCTCGAGACCAGCCTGGCCAACATGATGAAACCCTGTTTTCACTAAAAATACAAAAATTAGCTGGGCATAGTGGGGCTTGCCTGTAATTCCAGCTACTCAGGAAGCTGAGGCAGGAGAGTCGCCTGAACCCGGGAGGTGGAGGTTGCAGTGAGCTGAGATGACACCACTGTGCTCCAGCCTGGGAGACAGCGCAAGACTCTGTCTTCGAAAAACAAACAAACAAACAAACAAACAAATAAAAACCCAGTTGATTTCTAAAGGTACCATATAATACCATTATAGAATGTCTTTCAAATGCCAGAACTGGAGAGATGGAAGCTTGGAGGAGGGATGGGGTGGGTGGTGGATGGCACTGTGAACGATGGCAGGAGAAAATTGCTTTGTGCTTCTCTGTACCCTGACTGTGGTGACCGTGGTGGTGGTTAGACATGCAATTGCATTGCAGGAAACACTGACCTGCCCCTATTACATGTACAATGGAGTGCATGGAAAAACTGGTAAAAACCAAATGGGATCTGGAGTCTAGTTAACAGCGTTATGGCAATGTTAGGTTCCTGGTTTTGATATTATATTGTAGTCACATAAAATGTCATTTTTGGAGGATGCTGGCTGACAGGTTTATGGGACTCAGTGTGTGCATTTTTCCAATTTCCTGTGAGTTTGTATTCATTTCAAAATAAAAAGTTAATAAATTAAGACAGAATCCTCAAATCCAACTAAATGCAAATGGAAATTGAGAGGTACCATTTTCTATGTATCACAATGGAAAAATCTGAGTAACAGTCACTGTTGGAAGATGTTATGGGTTGAATTGAGTCACCTCTCCCTTCAAGTACCTGTGACTATGACCGTATTTGGAAATAAGAACCCTGCAGATGAGCAAGTTAAGATGAGGTCATTAGAGTGGGCCCTAATATGATTGCGTCCTTCTAAAAAGAGGTCATTTTGACACAGAAACAGAGACATACAAGGGAAAGACAAGTGATGACATGGAGAGGACAGGGCTCTACAAGCCAAGAAATGCCTGAAGCTGTTGATGTGGGGAGAGGGGCCAGGAGCAGATTCTTCCTCACAGCCTCAGAAGGAACCATCCCTGCTGACACCCTGACTTTGTACTTCTAGATTTTCAAGTTGTGATAAAATAAATTTCAGTTTAACCGCCCAGTTTGTGATATTTTTTTTATGGAAGCCCTAGCAATGAATGCAGGAGTATGGCGAAGGAGATCCTTTCCTAGAATGCTTGTGAGAGGAAGAAGTTGGTGCAACTTCTTTGGAGGGAAATGTGGCAATATTTATTCAAATATAAAGTCACATGTCAATTGACCCCGTCATTCTGCCTCTGACTAGTCACTCAAGGGATATAGTCATATTTTCCAAAGATTCATTTCCAAGAATGCTCATTGCAGTGCTATTTTTGATAATAAAACCCTAAAACAACCCGTGTCCATCTATTGGGGAATAGATAATAAGTCATGTGATTCCATGTAGTGTGATACAGAGCTACAATACCATGTAAGCACTTCAAAAATTTAAATGCTCTGGAAGTTTTAAAGCGATTTGCAGCAGACTTATTGGATGCTGAAACCTCCTCTGTGTTGACATGAGGCTTTTTAAAGTCTTTATTCATCCCAGTCAATGTAAATATTCATTTGTTACACTGCAGAAATAGCAGTGGCAGTTACATAAGAAGTGCATCCCCATATCTTTCTAGGAATTTTATTATCATCTTTCTAAAATTTGGAAAACTGTGAATACTGAATTACATCGAACACCAAGGATTTGGGACAATGGAACATAAGCTGATATTCACAGCGGTTGAAATGTATGTGATAAAAATACTGTACACAGTGCAGATTAGAAATATCTATCACCTTTGATATTACTAAGTGAAGTAATACCCTCAGTGTTAATATTAGGTAAAGAAAAAAAAGCAAGGGCATAGAATAGTATATGTAAAAAGTTATCTGGGTAAATGATTACAAGCACATAAACATAACTGAAAATATATAAAAATCTAATTATGATGTTACACTCTAAGTATTGAGATCAGTTCTGCCCTCATTCTCTGCCAAAGCTGTCCTAGTTAGCAATGTACTGAGCAAGGCAGACAGCTTTTTGGGGTCTGGCTTTGGCAGGAAGGCTGTGAGGGGCTGAGAACCTTGCTTTACTCTGCCTTGACTCTGGTTAAGGTAACCTGATTTGTCTGTCAATACATAGTTTCTAAATAAATGTCTCCCAGGTACCAATGCATTGCATTTTGGGCAGATTAATGGAGATTAAATCAGCATCTTTAAAGAAGTTGATAAAGGCATCCTCTCTCCCTCCATCCTTCTCCTTTTTCCTCTGTTCCCTTCCTCCTGCCCCTCTTCCTATCTCCCTCCTCTTCCCTCAACGTCCTCCTTCCCCTGCACCTTCCTGTTCTTCCCCCTTTCCTTTCTTTCATCCCTTCCTCTCTTTCTTCCCTCTGTCCTTCCTCCATACCATCTACCCCTCCCTGTCTTCTTCCCTATCCCTCTTATGTCCACTCTCCCTCCCTGTCTCCCCTTCTCTCACTTTCCTGTCTTTTCTTCCCTCCCTCTATCTCTTCCTTCCTCCCTTTCCCTCTTCTTCATTCCTTCTCCCTCCTTTCTTCCTTTTCCCTCTCTCCCTCTCCCTGCCTCTGTTCCCCAGTCAACACCTGTGCCCTGAGTGCATCCTTGTGAAACACTTGGCCCTGACCTTCACACCCGGAACTGATCGGGGAATAAGACAGTAATTGTGGGAGGCACAGCTTATGCTTCTTTCTCTGCTCCTTCTTCTGGTTCCCTATTTAGTTCTTTTACAAACAGATTTCACAAGTCAGCTAAAATGTCACCTTTATTATAACTAAAACAAAAATCCTATGTTTCTGTGTTTGTATTATCTGAATGTGCAGATTTTCCTACAGCACCAGCTAAGACTTCTGTAAGAATCAAACTGGCCTGCAAGCTTTCTGAGGACCAGTGCTAATCAAACAACCAGTTTAACCCTGGGAATCACTAGAGCTCTATGCCTGCAGCTAACTCCCCCAAACATGCCAACATTTCCTTCAAATAAATAGTCTTTGTAAAAATTGCACTTGAGAATCTGCCCACCTCCCTGTGCTATACATCTATGACACCCGGAGCACAGTCCGGGATGTGTTCCCTTTTCCCACAGCTGTGTTGCCGAGGTAGCTTAGGGCACTGCTCTGACTCTGGCATCCTGTGAGAAACACCATGCTTCCAAGGCAAAATTGTCATGCTGAGTTCTTCTTTTCCTTTGCCCGCTAGAATCCTATGATTCCCGGAGTGAAGCAAAGCCCTCAAGACATCTGATGAGCAGTCTGCCAAGCTCTTTCTTTAAATGGGTAAAAGGATCAGGCTATGAGAGCCTGAAAGTCAAAACACCTTCAGATTTCATATCCAGTGTAAACTAAAAATAAAATCCTAAACTTCCATCACCCCACCAACTAAGTGAATCTCTTTTTGGCCAAGGGAACACCAGGAAAACCTGAAAAACTGAATTCTTAGGCATGGCGGGAAGGGAGGCCGGACATGCCTCATTCAACCCCTGCTCTTTTGGAGGTCAAGCACAGCTGAGCAGTATTAATGTTAAAACAGAGATCATGAGATGGATAAAATAGGCTCTTTGTGGCAATAAGACACCACATTATAGATAGGACCTAAGGCCATGCTAGGCAAGGGTTAGGTCACACCTGCAGGTCATCAGTTTTGGCATATAGCATCCTTATCTCAAAGCATTCCTTTCTGCTGACTCCCAGATTTTAGACAGTCTTACTCTTTTAACCAATTGCAAATTAAAGAATCTCTAAATCCACCTATAACCTGTAAGCGTGCTCATCAAGATATCCCACCTTTTCCAGCTGAACCAATGTATACCTTCCAGGTATTGATTTCTGTCTTTGTGTAATTCCAGCCTCCCTAAAATGTATAAAACCAAAACAATGTGATCTGACCACCTCAGTACCACTTACTCGAGGCTTTTCGGGTTTGTGTTTTTCTTGGGGTCACAGTTACTCATATTGGCTCAGAGTAAGCCTCTAAATATTTGACAGAGTTCGTTTGTTTCTGTTAACACCAGCCAGTCAGTATTTCCTTTTTGGCTCCCAGACTCCAGTGATCTCTGGTTCCTGTAGGTAGGCTTTTCTGGGCTAGAATCTGGGCTCTGAACCCTACATAAAAACGTTGCCTTAGCTGTTATGAATGAGAACTCACAAATTAAAATGTCTAATTCTTCTCCCCAGTTACCTCTTCACCTATTTACCTATCCCTTTAAAGCTCTTCAGTATTTAGGTGTTAAAGAGAAACCTGGGGAGAAAGCAGACAAGAATGGTAGTTTGAAAGCTTGTGCTATTTGTGAAGTTGGCCAGACACAAAAGGAACTCAGGGTAGATTAGCAGCTCTACAAATTAACACCTGTAATCATTCCATCTTATTGTAAATAAAGCTTATTAATTGGAATGTAGGTGAAATACTATTATAAAGATATTGATGATGTAGAGAGGATTGAATGTTGATTGACATGAAAAGAGGCATCAGCTTTCTCATACAGAGATTTACAGGGATTTGTCAACTCAAAGAAACCGCTGATCTCAGCCCTTCATTGTGAGGAGAGGAACCAGCTATCCAAAGAAAATGGAGGCCTCAGTAAGGAAGTGTGCTCAATGCGCCCCCAAGTGCCTGAGTTCGTTTGAACAGCCCTTCTGGAGCATGGTAATATAGTTCGTTTCTTAATGACAAATTATAAGTTGACACACTGCAGCATAATTTTCCAGAGTCTAAAATTTCAAACTTAGAGAACTTCAGAGAAAGGCAAGCATATATTTTGCTGGAACCTCAAGGCACTTCTGCACAGCCTTCCTGGATGGTTCCCTCAGGCCTACCAGAATCCTCTTTACACATCTATAGACTCTCATACATGCCTCTGTGCTGGGACTTAGCCATCACAGTCATGACTGCTGGTTAGACTGCTATTGGTGAGATTGTGCTGTATTGCCCGTATCTAATGCAGTACCTGACTCGTCGTTCCTTAAAAAATAAAAAACATGTGATTGCTGAATAAATGAAGAAACTGCTGCCAGCCAGAGCTGCTGGGGTGCCTTCTCACAACAGGAAGTCTGTTGTGAAGCTGTTGTGAGGGTGCCTGTTTTCTTAATAAGAGTTTACTGCATAGAAAATGTACAGAAATGAGCTCACTTTTAAATCTTGGCATAGTCCCTTGCATCTGTCACCTTGGCAAGTCACGTAACTACTCTGAGCCCCAACGTCTTTATTTGTTAAAAATAAAACAGGGAGTAATGACATTATTGTTGTTTAAAAAAATGAAGTTCATGACGGATTGTTGTAAGATTAATTTTCATGAAGTATGTAAAAATTTCTAACAACTGCCAGGCATATTTTCAGTGCTCAACAAATAAATCTCAGTAGAATCTGAATCTGAATGTTCCTTCCTTTGGATAATTTATTTTTTCCTTACAGGAATGCAGCTTTGATTACCTCATGAAACTTAGCAACACAATACTATTTTTTGAGGAAATATGCATTATAAATAACTTAATGGAAGGCACTTCTTCTATAAAGCATATTAAGTGATTCCCCAGATACACAAAAGGGACACTTGCTTCTAAAACCACCTACACCAGGCTGAGGCAACACTATATCTTCCTAAAAGGCGTGCGCAATATAAAAGTGTCTCTATTTTGAAGATATAAAATAATACAAAGAAAAGGGAAGTAAGCATTCTAGGGTCACATAGCAAACCGGTGACAAAATCAGGAAGATAATTGCATTCTGAATTCATGGACCAATGCTCATCTCTTTTATTTATCTTGGAGGTGAAGTTGGAGTCCAGGTGTGATAAGATGATTGATTCTGTTGTTCTTAGCACTGGAAAGGAATGCCAGAGAAATGAGACATATCCGGGTTTGTGTCCTTAATTCATTTGCCTTTCCTTACTTTGTTCCTCTTGAAACAAATTAAATCTGTAATTTTTTAAAGTTGTCATTACAATATGAATGTATTTATTCCTTCTCCTCTTCTTCCTCTCTCTTTTGATTGCTTGAAACCACATAAAAACAAGCAAATGTGATGGTGATTAAGTCTTGGCAGAAGATATTTAGTTGATGTATCGATTCTAAGTTGCTA